CCCCCTCCCCAAAAAAAAATTTAAGTTTGTTTTTAAAAAATATTTTCAATTTCAAAAATTATTTTCTACTCTAGTAAAAATAAAAGATATTTCTCAAAAATATTTTTCATTCATAAATCAAACACAAAATCTTTTTCGAAAAATATTTTCTACTCACCAACCAAACATGAAAAAATAAATCAAAAATCTACTTGTTTTCTCGGAAACATTTTCCAAGAAGACATTGAAAATAGGCATTCGAAGGACAGACGCTCCAAGAAGATATTCAACATTCATTACTTTTCTTCAATGAAAGTGTACATTGTATATTGTTGAGGGAAGATCCTTATTTGTCATGTCATCTTGACACACTATAATAGGAAAACAACTCCTAATGTCTCACGAAAATTGACTTAAGAAAAGCATATGAGATGATCAGTTGGGAGTTCATCAGTGAAGCTCTGAAAGGGCATGTATTTCTATACTTTAGGAACTTGGTGATGACATGTCATATCTCTTAACCAAGTTCACTATTAACGTAAACGGAGATGGATACCGATACTTTGAAGGGAGGAGAGGCCTCAGGCAGCGAGTCCCTATGTCACCTCAGGCAGAGTACCTCTCTAGAGTCTTGTAGAAAATGAGTGATTCACCAAATTTCCAATTTCATCTAATGTGCAAAGGAAAAAAGTTGACACATCTTATATTTGCTGATAATGTTACGGTGTTCTGTAAGGGAAATATGAGTTAACAGGATTGGTAGTTCAGATGAGACAAGGAAAGTGGCCCTAGTCTCTTAGGAGAAGTTGTATGTGCCAAGGAAATTAGGAGGTCTGAACATAAAAAGTTGTGATTTCATTGGAAAACTGGTCTGGTAATTGGCAATGAAGAAAGATCTGTCATGGATCAAATAGGTGAATGTCCTGTATATGAAAAGGTGATCAGCACTTCTGGAACCATATAACACCAGTGGACTGCAATTGGTATTGGAGGAAGTTAAATGCATAAATGGTATCAAAATGGTAGATACTGTCTAACTCCGAATGGTAACTACTCCAATTATAAATGCTTTAATAGTAAGATCACCAAAGTTATTGATATCTCATCTAGTGAGGAGTTGCGTTTCAGTAACCCTGTGGCTAGCCAATCAAAGGAGGTACTTACAAAAGAAAGAATGACAAGAATGAAGATATTAATCTACATAGTGCAATCTGGTCTATCTGAAAGAATAATGAGCAATGCGATATGTTATACAAAGACACAAAAATGCAGTCCTGTACGAAATTGGAATAACACACGTAGCTTGTGACTTTTGAATACATATTGTTTGGATTTAAACAATGCAAATGGTAGGCCCTGTCTTTTTTGTTTATACTTGCGAACAAAAGCCAAGAGAAATTTCAAGAGGAAAAGCAGATGTACATTACAGAAGCTAACAACTAGGCAATGAAGCAGCAGCTAAGTATAAAAGTTCAAAATGTTTGTTGGAAAAATGAACTCTATTTGTACCAAAAGGCACGTATGCTGTGAAAGAAAGGCGCCTCTGCTGTCAAATCTTAGTCATACAAGTAAATAGTATTTCCACTCCAATTTCCGCCACATGCAATTTCCCTTGCCAATCATGACACTCAAACACATCTCTAACACAAGTAGCATTTCGAAGGTCCATGCTGGAGTTTCAAACATGAATCTGAAACACGGGAAATGGTAAAAAGTTAGTTTTGGCACACGTTTCCTCCTTGGAGAATGGAGAAGCGGATCATTACAAGTAACCACTAAAAAAGGACAGAGGAAAACCTGTTTAAGATGAACATATACTGCTAAGGACATTTTAAGAGCCAATGGGTCACCCTTTGCAAAAATATTCATGACAACTATCTTTGTTGAAGTCCTTCATTTGCGGAAGTTTTAATGAACGGAGAAATTGTCCTGTGAGGTGAAAGTAACGAGAAGTGTTTCATATATTCATAAAAGTTGTACTGTCTTAAGCATGAAAATAAAACCAGAACTGCAGAAGACATAAAGATTATTCTTTTATGAGTCTATTAAGAAACTTATATAGATTTCTACCATATATGAGACTTGGTATTGTTCCTTGAGAGTTATCAATACTTACATGGAGAATAGACCCCGTGTAGCTTCTCATTGAGCACCCTATACGCTTTTGAGTTTTTGATGTTTCATATGTAGACTGTAGTTCCCCGAAAATACTCATGAAAGTGTCCCATAATGAGTCTACAGTTGAAGATTGTTCTTCATACAAAATAACAGTGGTGGTTCCTCTGTGAAACACGACAAGTCCCGTTAAACATTAAAATTATTTCATGAGAGAAAAGGAAAGTAAAAAAAAGAAACTTTACAAACTTGTTATAGCATTCCTCTAACAACTAAATAAAAATACCTAACATGATTCTGCCCATGGATTTTGACTAGATATACCACAACGACGTTCTACTATGTCCTTGTACCTAGTAACCTATGAGCAGAAATCATAAATTTTCATGATTAAACTTTTTTTTAAGGAAGGTAATGTTGTATTCATCAGCATAGACCTCCGAAAATTGGTTTCCAACAAAAAGAAAGATAGAAACAAGTAGATTACAAAGTGCCTATAAATTATAAATGAAAATTTACCTAACGTAATTGCCTGCTGCTCATACGATTTGGCTTGATTTACCACAGAGACGTTTTGAACCAGCTACCTATAAGGAAAAGAAACATAATTTTTAGAATAACAGCAATTCAGTTCAAGTGGACAAGCAGAATCCAGCATAGCAACAGATGCAATTGATTTAATCTAACTTTTTTTTTTTATGTCAAAATAATTTCAAGAAAAATTATTACATTACTTACCAAACTTCTTTTTTGGAACTCGTGGAAAATAATATTCTAATTAAAAATGCGAGCGACTCAGTAAGTGAAAGAGAAACCGAGACTTACGGTTGTCCTTCTCCGCCCACCTAATTCAATATTTGAAATATGGGAAATTTTGGACCACTGGGAGTAGTTGGTGAAACTTTCTTCTAACTTTGGGCAGCCTTTAATTCCCATGTTCCATAATTTAGTGAGGCGTCGCATGGCATCTCGGGACGGTAGATGCTCTAGTTTTTCGCAGTCATGTAAATATAATTCTTCCAAAGAAACAAGGTTGCCGAGCCCATCCGACAGAGCTTCTAACAATGGACAATCACTTATACACAGAAGCCGTAATTTGGGCATGGCATCTGAGAAGTTCAGATGTTGTAGCTGTTTGCACCTCACTAGAGTCAAACTTTCAAGAGAAGTAAGGTTGTCAAGTCTAGGAGGAAGAGCCTCAATTCCAAAATCAGCTATTGTGATCTCTCTTAGGTCAGATAGTTGCATAATCTGATAGGGCAGAGAATCCCAGTGCCCACGTCCGTACACCTCCAGATCACGAAGGGACAACAGCTGCTGAATGCCATTAAAAATCAATTGGAATGCATCAAAATCCACCATCTCTGAGAAAGGACCAATTCCCAATCTCAATAACCCGGTGAGATGGTGAAGGCCCACTTTGGGTACACTAATCAATTTGGGACATTCTGTTATATCCAAAAATGAAAATGAAGGCATTTCCCACACATGTAAAGGGAATGAAACCAAGTTGTTACAGCAGCTGACACACAAAAACTCTAGAGACCGGCATTGATCTAGCATTCCAATTGGTAAACTGATCAATCCATTACAATTGTATAAGAAAAAGAATTCGAGGGAAGTCAAATAGTTGTCTCCATTGGGAACAGGAAGAGAACTGAAATTGGTGCAGTTGTAAATGTCTAATCTCTTAAGAGAATGGAGATTGTACAAGCTTTGTGGCAATTCACGAAACTCTCCGCAGTTGAAAATCGTTATCTGTTGAAGAGAAACGTTGTTACGTAGTATCTCATCTGGAAGACAAGTGAGCTCTTTCATATCATAGACACTAAGCTTTACGAGAGATGTCAAGTTGCTGCACAAGTTCAACAATGGCATTTCACTGTCAACTCCTCTAATTTCTAATTGACGGAGGATTTCAAATTGATTCGGAATACTTTTTAACAATGGACAGTCTGTAATCCGCAACTTCTCAAGCCTGGGAGACATTCTTACTCCAACTTCATCTCCCTTCCACTCAATAAGGCTACGCATATCCTCCAATACTAGTTCTTTCAATGATGGGAACACTTGGATAATGCTGTTTGATCCAATATTTCTAATCTCAACACCATCTAAAGCAGGTCCAATGCATTCCAACTCATGGAATCCTATCAGCTCAAGATGCCGAAGGAATTTCAGTTGGCCAAGGGATGGAATTTCTTTGCACCTTTTGCTACCACTTAATTTCAACTTGACCAAATTTGGTAGAGACTCTTCACTGAACCATGAAGGAAATTTAGTCCCTAAATAGTCCACTACTGCTAAGGTTTTCAAGTTAGGATGCGGTTGAAGACCATCCAACACATGCTCATCATTGATCTCACAGCCTTCTGATTCATCATGGGACCATAAATATGCCAGCTTGCAGATATTTGGTTTATCGTGTAAATATGCTGTTCGAGCCTCTTCTTTATCACAGACCAATTGGAGACCATTGATTGTCAATTCACCTCTTAGGTTTTTCAAATGACCTAATTCTTCTATTTGACGACCTTTCTCTAAACCTACCTTGAAAAACTTGAGGGTTTGAAGACTAGTCAATTGCCCCATATTAAGTGGAATCTGAAAATGTTCATTGTGAAGACACCATCCTCCCCAATGCCCACTTGTTTCGTCAACAGAAGTGTAATATATGTGTCTCAAACTTATCATATTTCTCATCTCATATGGAAGTTTCTGGAGTGAAAAGCAGTTGATGACTCTAAATGTTTGCAAATTATAGAGCTCGCAAATGGAGTTGGGCAAGGCTGTGATCTCAGTGTTCGAGAGATCAAGATATCTCAAGTATATCAGCTTCCCCATTTTGGCTGACAACTCCTTGATTCCTGAACTGGACAAATCTAAAACTCTCAAGAACTTAAAGTTCAACAGCATATCTTTAGACGTATAATTGCTTCTCCAAAACAGTGTGCACAAACGTTCTGGCTCATATATCTTATCTATTTGATCCGTTGGTGACTCACATCCAAAGTATCGAACTTGAGAAAGTTTTTCTCCATTGTCTCCCTTCGGATCAAATAGTCTAGATTTTAAGATATCTCCAGCCAAATCATGCACAAGATCGTGCATCTTATAGTGTGTTATAGTGTTGTGTTCATCTAACACAACATCTTGTAGCAAGGAATTCTGCAACAAGATTTGAAAAAACCTGTGCCCAACGTCTTCCATCACAGGGATCTCTTGACTTGGACGAAGAAACCCTTCTGCCATCCAGAGTTGGATTAGTTGGTCCTTTTCAAACATATAATCTTTTGGAAACATTGCAAAGTAAGCAAAGCATTTTTTCAGATGTGGAGATGGTAGATAATCATAGCTGAGTTTTAGGATTTTCTTTATGCTATTTTCTCCATTATCATCTTCACCTGCAACAAGGAGGCTGCCATCAAGAATTGCTTGCCATTCATGTTTTTCTTTGTTGTGTAAGAGCCCTCCCAACGCACTTGCAGCCAACGGTAGACCTTGGCACATTTTAACAATCTTGTTGCCCATGCTCGCTAATTCCTCTGGAACCCTGCCATCAACAAATGCTTTTTGTTTGAAAATAGACCAACAATGATCTTCTGTTAACTTCCCCAAGATATGAAGATCTGTTGCTACTGTGGATGCCACCCGCTTCATACGAGTAGTCACAAGAATGCAGTTTCCTCTGGATGTATTTATTCCTCTCAAGGTGTCAACGAACTCATGCCATGATGTAGAGTCAACACACCACAAATCATCCAGGACTAGCAAATATTTTTTTCCTCTCAATTCATCTTGTAGCTTCTTGACTATTATATCTCTCCTTTCAACCTCAATTCTCCTCTCTATCAATGATTCGAGGATTTGTTCAAGAAAGCACTTCGTTTCAGACATTTCAGGTAGACACAACCAAATTCTCTTTTCAAAGATTTGCTGGATGTGTTCATCATTGTAAATCCTCTTAGCCACAGTTGTTTTCCCTAAACCTCCCATACCTACTATGGGAATGGTGGACAGAACAATATCCTCCTCTCTCATGTTCAAAATCTTCTCCTTTATCTCAGCAACATCCAAATCTCTACCAACAATATCAGAAGCAACTACTAAGGAATCTGTTTCTCGAATTGGTAGTATTTTCCGAAAAGGAACCATGAGTGATTGTAGACCGAGGTCTTTGGCTACCTTATTGATAGCCGTCAACTCTTTATTGATGTTGTTGATTTTTTGAGACATTTTTCTCTTAAAAGCAGTATGAGAAAAGAAACCACTGACCTTTTTCAATGGGCTCCTCACCACTTTTGTTTTGAGAGATTCATATCTGAATCGATCAAACACATTTTCAGCATCTTCAGCAACTCTCTCAAGCCTGTTGAGCCATTGTTCGATAGACTGTTGTTTCTCAACTTGTGGTGTTTCAACATCATGAATGAAAGCTTGGATTAAGGATACATTTTGTGTCAACATTTCGAGATCTTTGTTGAAATCCCTTGAGCTGTTGACCTCCTCGATAGTGAGAGAAATCAACTTTTCAAGCAAAACTTGAACAGTAGCACCAATTACAGGATCGGCCATTGTTGTGTTTGCTCCTTCACAAAGTCTTCTTCCTCTGCACCAAAGTCTTCTCAAAGTAAGTCTTCTTTTGGTAGTTGTTTGTAGAGTACTCAAAGGAAGACAATAATTCATATACAATCATTCAAACAGTAATAAAAAAAAAAAATACATGTGGATGAAACCAAGTTTGAGTCTCTTTTTCCTTTTATATTCATTTATTTAAGTAGTTTTTTGTTTTATTTGTACAAGTAGTTCTATTTTACATTTTACTAGAGAACTTATTCCGTGCTTCGCGTGTATGAATTTTTGATATTAGATTTCTTTTTAAATATTTTAAATTTTAATCAATTATATTATTAGTAAAGTTTCTATGATTTTTTAGCACTTAAAAATTCAGAGCCTTTCCATAAAACTTATATAATATTTTAATCAATTATATTATTAGTACATTTTCTATGATTTTCAGCACTTGAAAATTCAGAGCCTCTTTATAAAACTTGTATAGTGTATAATCTATATAAGTGAAATGATATTTTTATTTTTGTTAAAAGAATGTAAAGAAAGGATAGAAGTTCAAGAAAAATCAAATTCTTTCTTCAAGTATATGTATTACTAAATTTTAAAACATGAATATTTCTTTTTAATCTTTTAACTTAATCTCCTCAAATACTTTCCCACATAATTACGCATTATCTTTTGAAAATTGTCCAATCATATTCCTTTTTCGTCTTCTAACTTCACAATAATAAAGATAAATAACCAAAATATATTTTCAAAGTCTCAGCATAAAATGTAAGAAAAGCTATTACAGAAATCACGCATAAAAACATGTTATAAAATATGAAGAAGTATAAACATTATTACCCATTAATTATCCCATTTAATTTGAGAATATGCAAGTAATTAATATAGTCAGGAATAGGAAAAACAAATCATTAGTATAGTGTTACTATAAAATTCAGTAAAACATTATAAATTATTTTTTTTAATATTAGAATCGCAATACAGAATTTTAAAAACGGCTCTTACACATATAAATGATTAAAAATAATCATATTTATGATGGGGAATGCAACTCTAGGTGCAATCCATTTATAAAATGAACTTTTGAGGTTTGATAAAGAGAAATCATGAAATAATTAAAATAAATAAATAATTGTATTATTTTTATGTTCTTAATTATTAAAGTATTTTAAAAAATGAAATTAATATACAATTTTTTGAGCTTTTGTTGATATTCATTTTCACAAGCCATAGCCATCATTCAATAGCCTTCATCTTCTTTCAAGTCAATCCAAAGCATCAAACATAATAAGCATTGAAAACGTGAATACTTAAAATGCTAATGTTCTCCTTCCAATAAAGTTTTACAATATCTATGTTTATATTATTACAATATAAAAAACCAAATAATATTATGAATATGAGTATTAATTATTTGAGCAAAAAAGATTATCCTAAAGGTGTAGTAATGGGGTAATGAGAAAAGATCCAAAAAAAGAAAGAAGAGAAAAGACAATAATCAACATGGGTTGTGGTGCACTGATGAGAGTGTTACCCTTAACCAGAGGTCTCGGATTCGAGTCCTTGTATGAAGAGAATCCTGTTGTGAGCACCACCCTCGAATGAGCCCTGCAGAGCGCGATTTGGATTTAATCGAAGCTCTTATGTGGGCTCCGAACACCCAGTGAAAAAAAAAAGAAGAGAAAAAACAATTAATGAATACTAATGAAAGGAAACAATTGCTTATTCAAAAAGAAATTAAATAAAGCACAAAAAAAAAGTAAAACAAACCTCACAAAGCCGCCACAAAGAAATTCAATAGGAAATCCCACTAAAGCCTAAATAAGGGTCAGGAAAAAGAAACAAAAGTTAACGAAGCTTACCAGTCATCCGTCTCCATTGACATTTCAAATTTCTTCGCCACAAGATATATATATAAAATTTGAAAAATCATCATTAATTTTCTTCATTTAGTAAAAAATATATATATATATATTGAAAATGAAAGGTTTTAAAACTGAAGCTTAATTGGGTTATTATTCCATTTTTAAATGTCTAATTAATCTTTTAAATTGAGTAATGACTTTGATTAGAACGGTTGCAATGGATGAAAACCGTTTTTTTTTTTTTATCTTTAGACATGAATACACATTAGATTGAATTACAAATTAAAACTTATTTAATAGAAACAATGAGGAATTAAAGCTATTTTTTTAGAAAAAACAAAAAAAAAAGCAGAAAAGATAAATATGAATTGTAGCTATAGAGATGTGCCATATCACCTTTTTATTATCTAACTTTATATTATACATAGATTTAGATTGATACATAGATATAGATAGATTGTAAAGAAATTAAATAATAAAGAGAGAAGATATTAAAAAAATGTTGTCATTTTACGATTAGAAGAAGGTAAAAAATAAAGTTAAGTTGTTTCTACTTAGTAGGCGTTTGGCCATGCGATACCATATCACGATATGGTATCGTGAGATGGAATCCGCGTTTGGACATGCGATTTTACGCTGATTCCATCTCATGATTCCATATCATGAGAGGTGATACCATATTCTCCAAAAACCATGATATGATTTGAGATATTTTAATACAATATTTGATCCATGAGTTTATATTTTGTTAAAACAACCCCACATTTATATCTACTAACCATTTGTTTCATATGTAAATAAAATTTATAGTCACATCATTACTTTTTAAAATTTATTATTCTCACCAATATAAAATTTATTATTACTTTAAATTTGGTGAATATAAATGATAAAGTAGAAATTCATTTGGTGAATATAAATAAGAACGAAGGGAGTAACACTTTCTTTATTTTTCATAATAAAAAAAACGTCTTAATCTTATGACTAAGCATAATATTGATAAAAGACAATTTTCATTGACGGTGCCGCACTTTCTTAATCTTAGTATTCGCAAAATATTTGTTCACATGACTGAAGAATATCAAGTCCAATTGATTGAGGACTTGGGAAAATTTGATCAATTAGTTATTAATATTTAGTCAAGTGGACTAGTTATAATTTTTTGATTAAATTTTATTAGAAGTGTTTTTTGATTCAAACTTGTGGTAACTTTTTAAAATTTCGTTATTCAATAATATTTAACTATTGATTTTTTCTTGTAAATGGTTAGAAGTCAATGATGTTTGTTAATTTTTATCTTAGTGTATTTAACTTCTAAGTTAATATTTACTCATTAATGTATGTTTTTTTTCTACTTTATAGGTTATTTGTAAGAGTAGTTGAGAGATATGAGCATATCAAGTACAATTTATGTTCAATTTTTTAATTAAATTAAAGTTAGTATGAAACAATTACTTTAAGTGAAGACAAATAACTTCGTAATAATTTATTATGCGATTTTATAATTTTTGTATATTTGATAAGATTGAATAAACAATTGTGACTATTTTAATAGTTTTACAACTTATGGGATTTTTATGTTTATGAGAAAATATACAAAATAAAAATTCCATATCGCATGTCCAAACAAATCTTCAATTTCATCTCATAATTCCATATCATGATACCATATCGCATGGCCAAACGGACCCTAAGTATCTATAGGGAATCAAAAATAATTGAAAATTACTTACAAAATTTATGATTTGTACAAGTAGTTTTATTTTATTTGTTTGAGTAATTTTTTAAATTTTATATATGAAAAAAAGGGGCCAGTACAATCATGTATTCTCCTCCACGTGTTGTAACATTAGTGGATTTCTTTCAACGTAGAGACAAAACCCAGCAAAATAACATCTACTCACAAAAGATGATGAAGAAGAGGGAATGAAAGGGACAAATCTCCTCTCTTCCTCTTCCTGATGCGTGTACTATACTTTTTCTTTTATTTTAAAAAAATTTCACATAACACTTTACAAGGACAAAACATTCAACATTGATATATTAAATAAATTATTAATATTAATTAAAGTTAAACATTAAAGAATCACTATCCTAGAAAAATAATTTTTTTATATAAAATAAATTTAAACTGTTTTTTTTTTCTTATCGCACTCCATCAATTTCTCTCACCGT